AAAATTGGAGATGAATGGAGGTGGGAGGGATCAGATAAATTGGAAACGTTTATAACATTCCCTCCAACACACACACACACACACACACACACACACAGCCATATATCTGAATTCAGAAAAACCCCACACTGGGCAAACGACCCAATTATGAGTGCCTCTGTCAACAGTGTGTCGTAAAACAATTCATGGAGGCCAAAGGGTCTTATGGTTCCTGCAGGGAGGTTCTCCTCTGTTTGATCTCCGCACTCACACCCCAAGGTTTCAGCACAGCCAGGCAATGCACGGTAAGATCTGGGATGAGTGATGAGGATTCCTTTCTTTTGGAAAGCAATAGAAGGACTATTAAAAAAAAACAACTCGGTGAAGTATTAGGAAGATCATTTCAGAGGGGAAAACAAGTGAAAATGGAAGATCTGGAAATTGATTTCCTTAAAACTATATGTACTTGCATTTCTCCCAGGAAATCTTCGGGAACCTGGAGAACAGTGCATTTGGAGTGGTTTGAAGACTCCTGGCCCGAGTCACTCCAAGGAGTTCAAATGAGCGCATCCTGGGCTGGCAGAAACACAATGTGCACAGGGGAGCTAGAAATGAAGAACTGGTGAACAGGCTGGATGGGCCAGAGTGCCCATCAGCAGGTCCTTGTGAAGGAGTTGCAAGTGCCTGACTCTGCAGAAAGATGAAAACTTGCCAAATGCTCTCGAAGAGAAAGGAGACATTTTTCTCCCATATATGGCAAACATTGCACCACAATTAACCTATGATGGATGCTTTTCCCCAGGGAACACATGCTCATAAATCCTTGTGGACTATGGACAAGTGAAATACACTGACGACCTGCCGCAGCTGCGCCTAAGACAGTATTGTCCCACCCTCGTTCTCCCAGGTGCAGATGAGTATCTGTGGGGACTTCGGCTGCAAGGATGGGACAACAAGTTGCCTGGAGTCCCTGCCCTAGAAATGGAGGACGAGCTTCTGTGAGGAGGGATAGTGCTGTGCTAAGACTGTGTATCTAATGCACTTACTCTTGGGCCCTTTTGAGGAAGGTGGGGATAGACAAAATGAGCAGCCCCGAAGGACCCCACACCACTGCCGGAGAGACAGCCTGGACTGTGCCGGCCCCAGGAAACAGGAATCGCTGCACACACTGGGATGAGCCCCTCCTGGCCAAGACGAGCAGAAATAAGGAAATTGAAGAGAATTGTATTGACTAAGAAATTTGGGACTTTGAATTATTCCTGAGGGTAAAGGGATTCCATTTTTTTCTTTTACTTCATTTTCTCCAAGGGAACTTTAAATGAGATTGGAGACTATATTAAATTTTTGGACATCTTTACATTTCTCATCTGGCAATTATGTTTGGATTATCTTTGTGTTGCCATTTAATCACATCGCAGCCTCTAATTACTTATTTCAGACAACAGAGCTGAGCAAAATCTGAGAGCGGGGAATAAAACAGGAAAGCAATTTCAAGCTTTAGTTACAAAGCCTCCTTACAGTTAATTTAATGAACGTAACGTTGTGAGTCATTCCCAGGCCTGCTGGGAGCAAGGTCGATATTGCCCACTGTGATTCCAGAAGAATGTACAAAGGAGTGGGAGTTGCTTTTTGGGGCAACAGCTTCATAAAGGTGGGCAGGGATTGCTCCGCAGGCAGCCAGCCTCCTCCCCCAAGGGTCCCAGCCACACTCCTGCCTCAGCACAGCCTAATGAATAAAGCTAACGAGATAATTGAACAAGAACTGTTCACTACCAGGGAGCAGCACTTGACCCCACTTCTGCGGTTCCCCAGGTTGGAATTGCAGCAATACCACCTCCACCGGCATCACCCCCCAGCCCTCCATGCCACCATGCTGAGAGGGTAGGGGTGGGTTAGTGAGTGTGACAGAAAGACCTGAGTAGGTTCTGCTTGGTGCCCGCCCCTCTTTTTCTAGAAAGTGTCTGTCTCTGGTTTGACCTTCTTCACAGGGCAGGTGTTTGTCCCTCAGGTGGGGCCTGACGTTGTCCAGCTCTGCCTGGGCCATGAAGGGGAAGTTTAACTGTGAGACAAAATTTTAACAAGCTCCCTTAGCCACAGGGCCAAGAGTACAGTCCCCAGTCAGTTTTATTAGCATAAAGATGTGAGTTTAAAAGAAAAATGGATTGATGGAATGAATGAATGAATGAATGAACTTCTGTCTACATGAAGCTGAGTCAGGGGTTCAATGGAGAGTCCCCTAGAAATTATTTTCAAGTAAATCAGTTTTTATACATCAGGTCTTCTCCTCTTTTCCTCCCACATGGCTAATCCTTTATTCCCAGATAGACTAATTATCAATGCTTATTAATTTCCCATTGGTGACTCCTAACATTTAAGCCTTAAATGTTTCCATATGCTCCAAGTAGTTATATTATCTTAATAAATAATTTATTAGTTGATTACGAGTTCTTTTAGCAAATCTTGTGAATTACTCAGCGACACACTCAGAAGACACATACACTAAACACGTAAGTGTTGTCCATTTACAACCCACCGCAGAGTTGAGGAACTGAAGATGAGAGAAACTGAACAGCTTGCCCAAGTTTGCATGTCCAGAGAGCAGCATGGCCAGGACTTGAACCCTGGTGTGCCTGCACACTGCGTGCTCAGTGCACAGCCCCACAGCGCCCACACTCACAGGCCGAGTACTACCAGGATTGGAAGACCCCTTGCCGGTCACTCAGTCCAACCTCCATTCACTGCTAGGTCCTCCAGGCATGGCTTGCTCATCTCAGGGACAGAGACTCCCTAAGGTGGCCCTTCTACTGTGGAGCAGTCCTATTGCTTCACAAACTCCTTTCCATATGGAATGCCTTGCAAAGTTACCCCATTGGCTGAGGTCCTTTGTCCCTTTTGGGTTCCAAACGCAGAACTTTGGAGTTAGCAGAGTGTCCACTCTTAGAGTAAACATTCCCTGTTCCTCCACCTATTCCCCACACATACTGACCAGCAGCCCTACCCACCCTTCTGGGAGCCTCTGGGTGCAGTCATTGCTGATGACACCTCTAGGGTCTGGAACTGGACATGACGTTCCAGGATGGACCAGGGCAGGGCACTGCTCAGGGATCACTGCCCTTATTATAAGCACCATCCTACCATGTATTTGGGGGAGGAATGGGGTGTGGGGGTGTGGGAAGAGCACTGCTCTGTTCAAGAGCCTACGTGGCTCCAGGGTACAATTAACAGTATTTCCCGTGTTGCATTTTCTAAAATACCTGCATCCCAGAATAAGGGTATAACTGCTTTTTAAAAATTAAAAAGCTCTGTGACTATGTAACTTTGGAATATACTGCTTAATATTTATTCATTAGTAAATCTTTATTGAGTGCCTACTGTATGCCAGGTGCTATTCTAGTCACCAGGTATATATCCATAAACAAAACATACCCAAATTCTTGTCTATGGAAGCTATAGTTCAGAGAATAGATACTATTAATATGTGGAGAAGACCTGTGGGAGAAATTAGGCATGTAACCCAAAAAGCCCAAGTAGGCTTTTTGCAGCCTGGGGAGTTTTCTCAGGATTCTGTGACCTAGAGCATCAAAAAGACACCCCACCCTTTGCCCCTGGTAAAAGAGCTGATACTTCCAAACCCAGCTGCCTTTTGTTTACAATCCAACACGACTCTGCCATTTCAGCCCTTTTCATTGAACCTGGTACTTCCAGGCAACGAAACACAAAAATGGCGTAGAGTCAGCAGCGCCTGGGTCCCTGTTCAAAAATTCCTCCAGGCTCCTCTCCTCCCCTCCACTAACCAAGATTTTTCCTCATCACTCCCTTGATTTCTTCACCCATTTCAGCCTCTATGTTCCACTGGGTCCCTATGGGTTCCATTTGGAACACTGACCCCAGCTTGAACCTTTGTCTGCCCCTACATGTGACTGCCAGCATTTGCTCATCAGCTCTAAATGCCAGGCCCAGCACCCAAGCCCTGGCCCTTCCTTCCCCTTGCCCCAGACTCTCAAGACAGGGAGAGTGGCTTCTGCAGACCCTCTGGGTTGGGAGGGTGAGAATGCACAGGACCAGCTGCACTGACCAGCAGGTGAGCCAGGCCAGAAGGGCCTGTGCCCGTGCAAAGGGAGCCGAACACAGGAAAGAGAGAAAGCAAAGTCTGGCCTTGGTAGAGACTTTGGAGAAAAGCCGATAGGCAAAGGGATGTGTTATTTGTGGAAGGCTTTTATTTGGTGGTGGGAAAAGAATGGCAAATATGTAACACAATATTTCTGCAACTATAAATAACATGTAAATACCTTTCATAATGAAAACCTTATGGAATCTGCTCTACTGGAAGTATTTTAAAACAGAAAAAGGCAGGAGAGAAATAACATGTATTTAACCCATGCTATGTGCTAAGCACTTTCCATATGTTGTTTGCTTAGTCCTTTCACTTTCCTCCCGGGCAAGTGTTACACTTTATAAATGAGGAAAATGAGGCTAAGAGATTGAGGAGCTGGACCTCGATCCAGTGGTGGACCCCAGCCTGAAAACAGATCTGTCGGGCTCCAAACCCCTCACTCTTTCTGGAGCCAAGCCTGAGCCTGCCTAGAGGCTGGGGCTGGACTACGTTATCTTTCTAGATTTTCTCTGTTGCCCCGACTTTCAGCATCAGCTTATTTTCTTCAGTCTTCCCAGATGATAAAAATCTCATGTGTACACTGTGACCTGTAACTCAGTGGAGATTCAGGGTGAGGGGAACAAATCTGAAGGTGCAACCGAGCGACGTCGGACTCTGCCGCTGCCTTGCTGGGGGGCCTTGGGTAAGCCTCCTCTGTCTCTGGGCTACAGTTTCTACCTCTGGAAAATACAGGTGCAAGCTAACTGCTTGAGAAGCCTCTGCTTGGCCCTGACGAGTCTGTCTCTCATGCACTGGATTGGGTGCCCTAAGGAGGACGTCTCCCAAGAAAAGCCACTTTGGAGTTTCCCCAGCCTGGCCCAGTTTCTCCGCCCACCCTTTCCCCCTCTGCAGCCCAGCCCTCACTGACCTGTACCTCCCGGGTCAGGGCCAGCTCCAGCAGCTGACTGAAGTGCTGGCCCAGCGTGCTTAGGGTCTCACTCACGCAGGCCTTCATTGACTTCAGGACATGCTCATTCTCGACCTGGAGGCACCTGGGGAAAGTAAAACATGGGGTGGGCCACTGGAAGGGGCAGGTGGCCAGACCAGAGCATTGCATGGGCCCGGCTTGGGCCTGCTGCAGACCTGGTGGTGGAACAAGTGGCCTGGAGAGTGCACATCAAAACCTGGGGAGCCAAGATGGAACATTCCATAGATGGCTCACCCCTTGGCCTCCTGGTGTTTGGGTAAGTGCTGGCCTGAGATGGGAGTTAACAGTCCCTGTCACCAGGAAGAAAGGCCACCAGAAAGCAGCCAGATCCTACCCCTGGACTTCTCCCTGGGAGAATCTGCCATCATGGCAGCCAGGGTCCAGGGATGGGGGCCGGGGCTGCAGAGGGGGGCTGCTGGAATGCTGGCCATGCAGATGACCACTCCGAAGGTGTATGGCAGTGCTCTTTACGGAATGACTCCCTACAGTGTGCAGAAAGGAGCCTTAGGATTTTCACCCCAGACAGCAAAACCTCTGGGGATTAGGTCCCAATATATGTCTGTACCCTGAGAATGATCCACACTGAAAGACCAAAGGCTTCATGGGGGCCCAGGGGATGCCAGTTCCAGATTTTTTCTTCCAGGGCATGGGGGCTAGAAGTAGTAAGAGAGAGTATCAACATATAACTGGGTGTGTGTACATGTGAGGTTGAGTGTGTGTGTGTATGTGTCTGAGTGTGAATGATGTATGTGTATATGTGAGATACAGAGAAGAGGGCAGGACTGTATTTCTGTGATTGCATGAGTGTGTGTTTATATACTTGTATATGAGCAAGTGGGTGTCTGTGAAGCCCTTCTCTGTGTGTATGTGAGTATAAGGTGTGAGCATCTGCTTTCACCTTGCCTTGACTTTGAAGGTCAGGGGGGCTTCCCAAAGCCGTGGGAAACCTACTCCTTATTACCGACCCTTAAGAGCCCTTTCTTCCCAAGCCCAAGCCTCTCTTTTACATTCTCCCTAGGGCCTGAAAATGAGGCAGAAAATCCCAAGGGAGTCTTTCAATATTGTCGATAGGAGTCAGCAGAAGGAAACTCCCAGAGCACCACCAGGCCCTCTACTCCCTCTCCCTCTGAGAGAAGAGACCAGCCCCTTCCACTGCCTGAGGACAGGTCAGTGGACCCTGTCCAGATTTACCCAGCATCCAGATTTACCTCTCGGTGATCGCTGAGAGCTCTGAGCACTTCTCCATTAGCAGCTTCTCAATCTGCAGAAAAACAGATCGGTGTCATTCAACAAGCATTGGTTGAAGACCAACTGCTGCACTGGGCCCTCTGGGGCCTAAAGATGGAGTCTCAAATCATCTGATTCGGGAAACAGGCACGTACACCATGCCAAGTGTAATATGGCAAAAGGGATCATCATCAGCTGCCTGGAACAGTCAGAAAAGGAAAACTGGGCAACTCGTTGTGCCTAGGAATCTGGGAAGCTTCCGAGAGGAAGGGGCACTCAAGCTGGGCTTCAAAGCATGAATAGAAGGGTCCTATCTGCAAAGTGAAGCAAGGAAAAATGCTGAGGTAGAAAGTAAATGCTAAAGGGAAGAGAGGTAAGGGGGGCAAGGAGGGTTTTCAATGGTTCACTTCGGGGTTGGAGAAGAAGATTCAAAGTCATGGGCTTTGGGATCAGAAAAACTTAGGTTGAATCCTGCCTACACCATTTACTGCATAACCTTGGGCAAGTTACTTAGGGTCTCTGAGTTTCTGCTTCCTCATCTAGAAAGGGAGGACAATAATATGAACGAATACTTTTAATCAACTGTTTTTAATGTTCTACTTGTAACAAAATCAGTCCTCCCAACAGTCCTATGACATAAACACTATCGTCACATTCACTGGGACAATAGAACATGGACGTTAAGTGACTTGCCAAGGTCACAGAGCAAAGCTGGCATTTGAACCCAGGCAGTCTGGCATGAAAGTGGGCACACACAACCACTGCACAGCCCTCTGTAGCGGCTCCCCCTGCATCAGAGGCTGTGCGGCTTCAATGACATATGTGTAAAAAGGCCTCGCACAATTCCTGGCACAGAGAATATACTCAGTAAAGGTCCTCACTGCCCTCCCTGCTTTACTCAAAGAGGAAGGAGGTCCCTGGGGCAGGAAGAGTTCAGACGCCATGCAGTTTAGACCCTTTCTTCTGGGAGGCGTGCCCACCCACACCCAACCCAGGGCAACTGACCTGGCCCATCTCCTGCGAGGAGCTCCTGCTGACCACACTGTACTCACTGACCATGGAGCGGGCGTGGCAGGTCAGGCGCACGCTCATGCTGTGCACTCGTGCCCAGCGGTCCTGGGCCAGCTTCTGCCCGATCCTGCGCAGCTCGGTGCTGATGACCCAGCCCCGCTTGAGCAATAGCTGCAGGGGGTCTCCAGGGCCAGGGCCGCCCGCCAGGATGAGGTCACCCTGTGCGTCCTCCTCCAGGCTGATGGGCTTTGCCTGCAGGATACACATGCACTCGCACTCAGTCATGAGCTTCAGGTCCTCCATCCAGCGCTGGACTGAGTCCACCTGCATCAGGTGCAGCCTGCAGCCGGGGAACAGCACCGAGATGGCGATCAACACTCCTCAGCTTCCAAAGACTCCAATTCCAAGCCACCTGATGTTTACTGAACACCGACGTGCTCGTCACTGTTTCTGGCACTCATTTACCTTAATCCTCTTTTTCTCATTATGTCCATCTTACAGATAATAAGACAGAGACACCGAAGGTCTGGGGGCAGATGACCAGACAAACAACAGGCAATAAGTCTTCAGAATAGTACATAATCTTTGCAATAGGAGGAAAATGGGAATAGTGTACCTACCAAATATTAGTTATGTCAAGTAAGCGATGGTAACAGTTACTTGATAATTGAGTGTGCACTTAATTGAAATAATGCTTTCCAAACTTTGCAACAAAGAAAAATGTGTCCACTAATAAAGGGGAGGGAAGCAGTATGCATGACTGTAAATACACAATTATTGTAATTATGTTAAAGAGCCATCTGGGAAAATATTTAAAGGAAAGATTAAAATTCTAGTGGTTCTTTGTGGGCGATGGAAACAAGGCATTTTTTATTTTTTTCAACTTTCCCTAATTTCTAAATTTTCTCTCATAAGCATGTGTATTAGTTTTGTCATGGAACCAAATTAACTCCACTTAGTACAACAGCATGAGAATATAGATTAGATCCCAAGAATATCATTTACTCTGAAATTCACTTAGTCAAAGCAACTTCAGTGATAACATCATTAATGAAGTACTGAACATTCATCGAGTGCCTCACATTTACTATCATGTAAGTGCCAGGCACTGTGGAAAAAAGTGGATGTGAACACGCCAAGCCTCCGCTCTCGTGGAGCCTTGGAACTGCCAAGAGAATCAAGACAAAGTAGTGAGAAACTGAAAAATGACAGATTTCAACATCGTTTGAAGATAATGACAGAGGTCACGCAGTTCATCATTAAGGCCAAGCCCCAGTCCCTTTGCCTTTGGCTTGCAACGGTTCTCTGACTAGTATTCCTGTCACTAACCTTGCCTGCCTGGAGCCGTTCTCCACTGTCACCTCCTGCCTCTCATTCTAAAATACATTTCTGGTGCCAAGTACTGTCTAAGCCCTGGGCTATGACAGCAAACGAGTAGATAAAAAGACCTTCCCTTGAGTAGGTTCTATTCAGATGAGAGGACAGTCAACTTTCAAAGTAATTTTCAAAATAAACAAGCAATGCATGTAATGGGTTGGAGGCAGTAAGTGCTATGAAGGAAGGGAGAACAGGAAAGAAGGCTGGAGAGTGTTGGGAGTGGACATGCTGTAGGCATAGCAGTTTGAAATCAGTGGATCAGACAAGGCTCACTGAGAAAGGGACTTTTGAGCCAAGACTTGAAGGACATGAGGGGTAAGCTAGGTGGCTATCTGGGGGCAAACTGTTTCAGGGAATAAGGATAGCAAGTGCAAAGGCCCTGGGGCATGAGTGTCCTTGACACATGTGGGGAATGGAAAAGATGCCATAGTCAGTCAGGCAGAGTAGGAGGAAGGACGTGAGGATGTGAGGTGAGAGAGACAGAAGGTGGGGGGGTGAGGGTGGAGGCGGCCCCCATAAAGCTGTGTAGGGTGAGATGAGGATGTGGATTTTATTCTGATTCGGGATGGCACACCAATGGCACTGATGAGGCCAGCTATGTACCAAGCAGAACTGAAATTATAAAGGCATGCTCCAATGAGCACGTTAAAATCACGCCTTCATATCTACTCATTTATTGAGAATGAACAGGACTTTCTGAATGACGAAACTGTTTGACTGTTAGGCTTTTAAATGTCATTTTTAACCACAAAGCATATAATGTTTCACCAGGGAAATCGTACATGTTGTTTCTTATACCAAATTAACTTTTAAATTGTGAATAATAAAAACTCACCAATGACCTTTCTTCCTCCCTCTCCCTTCATAAAAAATAGCTGTTATGTTTTGTAAATAAACATAATGATAGAGAGTTGCCTCAAATCATGGTGCCCTGCTGCTCATTCTACCCTTATGAGCCCATATTTAATTTTACAGAAGTGTGTGTGTGTGTGTGTGTGTGTGTGTGTGTAGTTACTCCTTGTGTGCCTCCCCCACCTTTGTGCCCTTCCTGCATCAAACTTCCAAGACCTGGCCCCAGCCTCCCTTCCCCCAACCCTCCCTTTTCCTCCCCCCCCCCCAGCTCTTAGCACCCTTGCCAAAAACACGCACTACCCTCCAGGCACACTCAACTTCCCTATTTCCCAACCCTGCCACTTTCTTTTACACGCTCCTGTGGCCTTGCACAGATGGTTCTTCTTTCCAAATGGAATCCTCTTTCTTCTCTACCTGGCAAGCTCCTACTCACCCCGCAAGAGCCAGCTGTAACGTACTTTCTTTGAAAAGCCTCAGCCAGAGTTTCTCAGCTGCTCCCTGGGGCCCCCATCCCTCTTCAGGCCTCCCCCATCGGGGCACTAATAACATTCTAGAGTAATTGGTGTGTTTGTCTGAAACTCTCCTAGTCCTATGAGGGACAGTCCCTCGTATCTAGTTTACTGCCAGTACCCAACATACACCAGCCACTCAGTAAGTGTTGGCCAGTGAATGAGTGGCAAAGTGGCAGGCATTGACTGCCACCCCCTGCCAGAGACGCCCCATGCCTCCGCCACCCAGGCTACCCAGAGAGGGCCCCAGGAACTCAGGATTGGAGAGGGGATATAGAACATGGAAGAGCATATGATCATCCTGTTCTAGAGACAGGAGACAAACTGATCTTGGGGTTTTAAAAGGCAACAAATAATCTAGTCACTCACTCACTGACTCATTCACTCCATAACACTCCACGGTGGACATCTGTTGTTTTTGGCTTCCCAGCACCCTTCCCCACCTTCTGTCAACAGCAAAGACAAATTATAATTAGCTGCCTCCTGGGGTGCCAGCCTGGCCCTTCAGCCTCCCCCTCTTTGGGAAAGCTTTCTCCTTCCAAACATAGGAATGGTCTCCCAGAGGTCATGGCTGTGCTGTGAAAATGTCCCCATCCACAGCTGCTGTTGATCCACGGGTGGGCTCCTGAACCGAGCTGCACACATCCAGCTCTGTTTCCCCAAACTGTGAAACTTTAAAGCCAAGAGTTACAGTGGCTAGAGTTGTTGAATATGAGTCACATTCATGACAGCAACTTCAATTAGGGCCTGAAGAATATGCCCAAGAGTTCATTTCTATGGCCTGTAATGAAAAGAACTTTATCTAAAACACAAGTATGCAAATAACTGAGCAGAGCTGAGTTAGTGCCATCCCTTAGAGAAAAGGTTTTCTGGACATTCAAAGACGGGGGCGGTCCCTACCAGTTAGAGGACAGGGTAAGGTGCTTTGGAGAAGGTGGCTTCAGGGCTGTAGGATTTGGACACAGGAAGACAGTGGGAGCATTTTCCGGGCCAGGGCAGACAATGGGACGATGACTAGGTCAGTTGGGCTGAGTTTTACATTCTGGAAAAGAGTGAGTTGTGAGAGGCAAAGCAGGAGAGGTGGCCCTGGCCCCTGGTCTTGAGAAGCTTTGAATGCCAGAGTCAGAGTTTACACTGAAGGTTCTGAGATGCTATTGAAGGGTGACAGGGAAGGGCAACAGAGGTGGAGACTGGCAGGGGTGACAGACGCCCAAATCACAACACCTGGCAAGAGGAAACCCGTGGTACCCATTCACAGCACGTCTCCCTGTGGGGAAGGGGGGCTCTAGGACCCTCAGACAGGAAACATCCACACCCCATCCCTCCTGGCCTGCATAGAAAAGGGCCATAGAAGATCCAGGAAGGGAGAAAAAGGGAGGAAGCACTAACCAAGGCCTGGTTAGATCCCACACTCACAGTTTTTGTCACCACCCCACCCCCCACACACACTCCCAACTCAACATGGAGGCCTACTTGGTTCTCGCTCTTCAAGATCTTTAAAAACTAGAAAGTAGAATTTCAGATGCTGTGCTGATTAAAATCCTGATTGATTTATCACTGCTGATAAGAGAAATAGGCTGACAAAACTATTGATTTCTCCAGCATCTGCATATTTGTCCCTGTGCGTGTCTGTTTGTGGACATGAACTCACTTTGGTGTTTGTTTATATGAACTGCGTGCCTGAGTCTGGGAGTCTGGCTGTGAGTTTCTGTATCTCTCTACGTGTGCAAGTGAGTGTGTGCTCGCAGGTCTTGCATCGCATAAACTCGATTAAAAACAGATGCGATGGGGCTGGAGTGACTGCACTTAGTGACTTGGTTCCAAAGAAAAGAGTTTAGAAAGTAGAGGAAAAGGTCACTTTGCAGTAGAGAAACCTGGCCAACACCACCTTGACCAAGTGACCCGAGTCAAGCTCACGGAGGGATGAGCTGTGTGACAGCATGTACTCCCAATGTGGTGTGTTGAGAAGACTTCACCTCTATGACACCTTCCCCAAATACGAAGCCTCGGTGTCATCATGGGGAAGACATAAGGGACCCAAACTGAGGGACATTCTATACAACAAACTCCCCAAGGTCACTGGGGTCGTCAAAAACAAGGCAAGAATCAGACCCTGTCCCAGAGCAGAGGAGATGACTGTAACAGGATATCTGGAATGGGATCCTGAGAGAGGAAAGGAAGTTCATGGGAAACTGCTGGGATCTGAAGGAAACCTGGCAATTAGTTCAAGACAAGGGACCAGTGCTGGTCCCCGAGTTGTGACAAAGGTGCCTTGCTCATGTAAGATGTGAACAGTCAGGGGAACGGGGTGGAGGGGAACACTCGGTGCCATGTTTGCAACTTCCTACAAAGCTAAAATTATTTTAAAATTTAGAAAAAGTTTATTTTAAACATGCAGGGTTTGGGGAAGGAGGTAGAACCTAGATAATAGGCCTGAGGATTTTTTTTACCCCATTTCCCCAGAAAGAATTTCACTTCTCTTGCTTCTTCCCCAACCAGAAGGGCAGGCTAAGAGACAGGCTGTCTGCCTGGCTTCGGGCTGCAGGCCCCGCGGAAGGCAGGCCTTCAGGAGCCAGGCACCCGTGGATGAGCGGCTGGAACC